GGCTATTTTTTGGTTGCAGCCGTCATTGTTGTTTGGTGGGTTCGGGCTGGATTCGAACCCGCCACCTTAGGTGTATGTGGCTGGCGCCTTAGCCACTTGAGCCACAGGCGCCTAGCCTTCCTTCTCAATTCTTACATCATTAGGGATGAGGGGCTTCTTTCCTCCTGTCACCATACCTACTTTGAGTACAAACAAATGCTAAGGCTCTAGGAAGATAGCTAGGTCAGCATGTACCAGCTGACCACTAGAGGGTGGTGTTTCTGTAGTTAAGGGGATCTTGAGAGCTTAAACTTGGATGGGAGTGGTAGCCAACTAGACTTAGCATAGGGGGATCCCAGCAGAATAGAAAAGTAGGAAGGCAAGTGTTAAGACTTAGGATACTAGTCCTTACTTAATAAATGAGGAGTAAGGAATACAAACAACATAGAAGGAAAGATTCCCCACCAAAGACCACAGCTATCACTCATTCCTTATTAAGGGAGATAAGTGACCCTGAGCTCTCCCCAGATACAGAGAAGTCAACAACAAAAGATTTCTCAGTTTATTTGCATATATACACTGTCATACCAGGGAGCCAGCTCTACTTCAGAAGTCCCCAGCTTCCTTTTTCCATCCAATACCCAAAGCTACACAGGAGGAATGGCCCTGGATAAAAAATGCCCACAGGTTCCAAGAGAGCTCATTTAGCAAAAATAGAGGGCTAGAGGCCGGTGCCCACGAGACATCCTTGCCCCTTTGTAAACATTAACAACCAGGCCACTGAAGCCTTGGGAAAGTGTGCAAACTTGAGGATGCCAAACTGTGTGCCCAGAGGGTCAGTAACACAGCTGGCAACCATACCCGTGAAGTCCTGAGGCCTTGCCCCCATCTGGAGCCTGGCAAGTGCCAGGGATAGAAACAAGGCAGATATCCAGCACCCAAGGGCTCACATCACATAGCAGCGACGTTCTTGCCCATAGGAATTCTCCACACGGGCAATCTCCTGGATAACTTTGGTGAAGATGTCTTGAGTCACCTACAAAGGATAAGGATTCATGGCAAAAGTCAGTTCAGTAGCAATACCATTCAGCTCTGAGGTGACCATCCCAATTCCCCAAGATCTCCACCACCAAGTGCCATGAGAAAACACCCACCACCTTCCTAATCTTCAGGGACCAGCACCTGATTCTCTCGAGCAGATGACTCCATAAATGTTGCACCCCAGGACTCTGCCAGCCTCTTCCCTTCAACTGCCTGAACCTCTCTGAAAAGCAAATTTAGGATATAAAGGTGGAGGATAAATGTTTCCAAGTGCTCTGCAAAATCTTTAGAATCTAGACTTCTGATGCATCCATCCACTTCCTCAAGGTTTGGGAGGGTTGAGATGGAGAAAATATAAGTTAAAAAAAGCAACAATGATTGAAAATAGGATTGAGGCTTGAAATACAAAATTGTGGCTTTAGAGACAAAAGTATTCCCTTCTCTTAATTCTCAAGTTAGAGAGATAAAGAGAGGTGAAATGATCTGTTTGCCATCAGTGGCAGAGCCAGGACAAGAGCCTAACTGATTCCTAGTTCAGCTCACTTCCCTTTGCCCAGAGTGGTACAAATTTACATACCTGTCCAGAGAGAGATCTGCCTTGTTCCCCACTAGCACCACTGGTAGCCTATGAGGAAACAGCAATTACTACAGGATTTCCTCTCATTTCCCATGTTCTCCAACTCCATCGAATCAAGGCTGGACCACTCATCAGACTAGGCAAGGTCTATGTCCCAGCCCCCCTCCAACTTGGACAATCCCCCCTCTGTTCTCTCCCACCCCCTCACACCTGCACTATGTTTCTATTTCCCAGTGCCATTTACCGGGTTTTGCCGTGGCCTTCGTATAGCTTCTGGTACAGACTCTCAATGACTTGGAAGCTTCAAACACAAGAAATGGAGCTATAACCTTAGTTCTGGAATAGTCCTTAGGTCCCCAAGTCCCCCACTCACAACCCTTGGTACTCACCTATGCAGAGAGGTGACAGAATACACAAGCACATAACCATGGACTCCAATGATGAATGAATAGGGCAGAATGCTGTACTCGTCCTAACAAGAAACAGAAACATCAATACCTAGGATCCATACCACTCAGATGGCAAAGGTTGGTGGGACATCCAGATGACCCTCCCTGGGGCACTCCCTACTATATTCTCTTCTATTCAACAAGTGTTTATGGAGCAGTTCCAATAAGCCCTGTACGCTATTAGCAGCTACACTGCTTTTCTTTTTAATACGACTGTACAAGTGAGCCACAGAGACAAAAAAGCTTCATCTCCTAGAGCTGAACTGCCACATTTAGATACCCTACCCCAACTGGTACCTGCCCTGCTGTGTCCACCAGGTGTAGGTGAAACTCATCTTTGCCAAGAGTCACTATCTTGCTGTAAGCTGAAAAGAAAAGAAAACTTGACTGTGAGGTGCCTCGTAGAGCCAGCAGTGTGTAGCCCCTTACCTTCATTTTTATTCTTTAAGAAATGGGAATGGCTTCTCACTGTGTTGCCCAAGGCTGGAGTGCAGTGGCTACTCACAGTCTAAATCATAAGGCACTGCAGCCTCACTCTTGGTCTCAAGCAATTCTCCCATTTTGGCCTCCACAGAAGCTGGAACTACAGGGAGGGCGTGCCACCACCCAGCTGCCCCCTTTTTCTTAACCCTGGGGGTGACATAATTAGACCAGGTCCAAGGAGTTCTCCAGGTAAGCAGAGATACGCTACAGTTCTTACTGTCTGTATCTACACTATCCTAGACTCAGTATCTTGCAAAATCCACACTCTAGCCACTCATAGAAAAAAAATTGCTAGAAAAGAGATTAGACTTTGCATCTAAATAAATCAGCCCCTTGTCACCAGGTAAATCCCCAATTATGAAGTTAAGTTGGGCACTCACACTCTCCCAATCCCTTCCCCCAGAGAACACTAGGGGAGAAGTCTACTCACTATTCTCCACTGTGGGGTCATAGCCTTCCAAGAACTTGCCTTCCACAAACTGATGTGCCAAAGATGTCTTCCCTGTGGGGAGCAGTGGTAGTTGTAACCAAATCATCCACCCACATCAACAACCTCTGTTCTTTCAGACTGTGACCCAGGACCAAAGGAGACCCCAAATTAGCACTCACTCTGGCCTGTGAGTGCCCCAAGCAATACTTTCCACTCTCAATACTGGCCCACTTTCAACCTCTTTTCCCCCTGGAACTCCCCACTTTGGCTACCAGATGCTTTCACAAGTGCCTCAAGTCTTTTCCACCGCCTCTCCCCACCCCAACTCCGGAAAGATCCAGGATTCCATAAAATCAAGTCCTGCCTGCCCCAGGATACCTGCAACTATTGGTCCTAAACAGATCATTGCCCAATCTTCAAATCCTGACCTCGCTCTACCCCCAGAGTAACGCTGGGGACCAACGAGGTTCCCAAAGCCAAATATACCCACATTAACCCTTACACTCTCCCGCTTCCTGAAGCCCCTCACCAACATCACCAGCCTTTCTTCCTCCACCCTTTTAATCCTCGCTCTACAAACACGTTCTTGCGATGCGACCATTTCTTCCTAGGTCGTGTTTCCGCGGCAGCGCGCCTCTCTGACTGCAAAGCCACTGTGCATCCGTGCTCTCTGCAGGGCGGAGACTCACCTACTGAGCGGTATCCAAGGATGACCACCTTCCTATAGCGGACCAGCGGCATGGCAGGAGCCTGCCCCGGAGACTTGAAGAACTGCGGGCTGAAACAGCCCGAAGAGGAGGTCAGAGTGCAGGAAAGTAGCTCAACCTGAAGCTTCCAGGGGCAAGCTAGAGAAAACCAAAACAAGCGCCGCTCCCGGAGCGGGCCACGTGATCACAACACAGCAAGTCTGCGGTGAGTGAGCCGGGAGTCGGGGTAACTACAGCGCCGCGCGGCTCCGGGCTCCGCCCCCTAGACCGCTTTCTATTGGTCCATTAGAATGGATAAGGGCGGGGCCGCCAGCAAGAGGGAAGGGTGGGCCTCACGTGGAGCGGGAGAACTGGAGGCTGCGCGTGCGCAAACTGGAGCCGGTTCATTCATAAAGAAACAGAAAGGAACCCAGGGTCCTAGAGGTGTTTGCGCATTTGAGCCTAGCAGGAGTGACTGTTAAGAATGGTGCATGGAAAATGCGGGTTGTGTTTAGGCTGGAGTTTCTAGTCAGAAGATTCCAGGATTTCCTTTTGCAAGATTTCTCGGCTCCTTGGATAGGAAGAAAATGCCAGTTTTAATGTATTCCCAATGCTTCCCGCACCCTCAGCCCCAGACCTTTTGTTATCAGGTTTCCAGTCTTCAAGCATCTAACCTCAGAACTGCGATGTTTGGGGAAATTGCTAGAATTTGTGCCCGGGTAATCTGAGGTTTTATAATCATCATCATCATCATAATCAATACATTCATTTATTGAATAAGTACTTACAGAGTCTATACTACATATTCCAGGCATTGCTCCAGCTTTGAGGATAGAGCAATAAACATGACAGACAAGGTTATCTGCTTTCACCTTAAAATTTGTTGTGGGGAAAAACAAACGTATTGATAGGGAAATATCAGATAGTGTTAAGTGCTGTAAAAGATGGTTTGATAAGAAATAACCCCTTGGGCGGTGCCTGTGGCTCAGTCGGTAGGGCGCCGGCGGACTCAAACCCTGCGCGGCCAAACTGCAACAAAAAAATAGCGGGGCATTGTGATGGACGCCTGTAGTCCCTGCTACTTGGGAGGCTGAGGCAAGAGAATCGCCTAAGCCCACGAGTTGGAGGTTGCTGTGAGCTGTGTGACGCCACAGCACTCTACCGAGGGTGATAAAGTGGGACTCTGTCTCTACAAAAAGAAAAGAAAGAACGAACGAACCCCTTTAGGCTCTGGCCGCTGTAGCAGCTGGACAACAATCACAACTGCAACAAAAAATAGCTGGGTGTTGTAGCCGGCGCCTGTAGTCCCAGCTACTTGGGAGGCTGAGGCAAGAGAATCGCTTTCGCCCAGGAGTTGGAGGTTGCTGTAAGCTGTGACATAACGGCACCCAACCAAGGCTGACATAGTGAGACTCTGTCTCCAAAAAAATAAAATAAAATAAAGACCCCTTTAGATTAGTGGTGTTTTCACTCAGAGGAAGCCAAATCTAAACTGAGAGCTGAATGACAAGGAGCCAATTAACGGAAGATTCCAAAAGAAGAATCCATTGCTGCTAAGGAGTTAAGATGGAAATTAATTTGGTAAATTCCAGCAAGAGGGGTAGGTGGAAGCCACTTAGCCAGAAGCAGATGAAGTCTAAGAGAATGGCAGAAGACAGAGAAAGGAGCCTGGGCTGATTTTTTTTTTTTTTTTTTTTTGGAAACAGTTTCACATTGTGGCTCTGGGTAGAGTGCTGTAGCATCACAGCTCACAGCAACCTCCAACTCCTGGGCTTAGGTGATTCTCTTGCCTCAGCCTTAAAGTAGCTAGGACTACAGGCGCCTGCCACACCACAACGCCCAGCTATTTTTCTTGTTGTTGCAGTTTGGCCAGGGCTGAGTTCGAACCCACCACCCTCAGTATATGGGCTGGCACCCTACTCACTGAGCCACAGGCACCGCCCAGAGCGTGGGCTAATTCTAAGTACCTGAAAATGTTTAAGTTAGGGCTTGGCATGATCTGAATTATGTTCCTAAAAGATCTCTCTGGCTGAAAAGAATGGATCAGAGTTTGAGGGGAACAGGAACAAGATGTAGCAGGGAGGAGGGAAATCAGCTTGGAGACTGTTTCTGGTAGTCCCAATGAGGGTGGGTCACTAGAGTGGTAGTGATAAATGAAGTAGGGAATTCAGGGTATGTTTTAAAGCTAAGGTCAAGCTGACTTGCTGTAGGATTGGACATAAGAGATAAGGGGTGAGGAGACAAAGAAAAACACCTGGATTTTTAGACTTCTACTAAGTGCCAGGTGCATTTTATTTTTTATTTTTTATTTTTTTGAGACAGAGCCTCAAGCTGTCCCCCTGGGTAGAGTGCCCTGGCATCACAGCTCACAGCAACCTCCAACTCCTGGGCTCAAGCGAGTCTCCTGCCTCCACCTCTCAAGTAGCTGGGACTACAGGTGCCTACCACAACACCTGACTATTTTTTGCCAGGTGCATTTTATTGTTACCTCATTTAATATCCACAGCAGCCCCAAGCTTGGTAATTGGTATTATTCATTCATACATCAACAAATATTTATTAAACAATTACCATGTCCTGGGTACCATTCTAGGTGCTGGGAATAGAGGAGAGAACAACACGTATAAGATAAACTTTGCTCACCAAAAATAGCAAGTATTCTTTTGGAAGAAGACCAACAATCTACAAATAAACAAGTTGTAATTAAAAAATAACTGTAGTGGGGGCAGTGGCTCATGCCTGTAATCCTAGCACTCTAGGAGGCCGAGGCAGGAGAATCACTAGATGTCGGGAGTTCAAGACCAGCTTGAACAAAAGTGAGACCCCCCCCCATCTCTACTAAAAATAGAAAAATTAGCCCAGCACCATGGTGAGTGCCTGTACTCCCAGCTATTCTGGAAGCTAAGCCAAGAACATCTCTTGAACCCAGGAGGTTGAGGTTGCTGTTAGCTAGGCTGATGCCACAACACTCTAGCCTGGTTGACACAGCAAGACTGTCTCAAAAAAAAAAAAAAAATTAGGGTGGCGCCTGTGGCTCAGTGAGTAGGATGCTGGCCCATATACTGAGGGTGGCAGGTTTGAACCTGGCCTCGGCCAAACTGCAATAAAAAAATAGCCAAGTGTTGTGGCAGGTGCCTGTAGTCCCAGCTACTTAGGAGGCTGAGGCAGGAGAATCACCTAAGCCCAAGAGCTGAAGGTTCCTGTGAGCTGTGATGACACAGTACTCTACTGAGGGTGATAAAGTGAGACTATGTCAAAAAAAAAGTAGTAACTACAATGAAAAAGAAAAACCAAAATTAATTAGCTAGAGGGGGTAAAATGGGCTACAGAGTAACACACACAGCCCTCTCCTGGTTTCTAGTACCTCCCTCCATCCTCCTCCCTTCAGGCCTCTCTTCAACCTGTTACTCACTTTGGGGTACTGTTCTACCTTGTGGCTTCCCTATACTCGGCCCACACCTTTGTAAATAGTCTCTTTATTAAACCTTCTGGCTCGGCACCTGTGGCTCAAGTGGCTAAGGTGCCAGCCACGTACACCCAAGGTGGCCGGTTCAAATCCAGCCCGGGCCCGCCATACAACAATGACGGCTGCAACCAAAAAATAGCCGATGAAGAGAATGATATTGTGGGGATCACGCCTATGATTTATCCTATTAGGGTACATGTGCATTTGTCTAAAGGTCGAATATAAATGTCTTAACACAACAATTATGAGAAAGACATGATGGCTATGTTAGCCAGTTGGATGAGAGTTTTTCAAACTGTATATTGAAGCAACACACTGTATCCTATGATAGAATTAATGTACACAATTATGATCTAATAAAAAAAAATAGCCAGGCATTGTGGTGGGCACCTGTGGTCCCAGCTACTCGGGAGGCTGAAGCAGGAGACTCGCTTGAGCCTAGGAGTTGGAGGTTGCTGTGAGCTGTGATGCCAGGGCACTCTACCCAGGGGGACAGCTTGAGGGTCCTGTCTCAAATAATAATTAAAAAAAATAGAAAAATGGGCCAGGCACGGTGACTCAAGCCTGTAATCCTAGCACTCTGGGAGGCTGAGGTGGGTAGATTGCCTGAGCTCACAGGTTCCAGACCAGACTGAGCTAAAGTGAGACCTCATCTCTAAAAATAGCCTGATGTTGTGACAGGTGCCTATAGTCCCAGCCAGCTACGTGGGAGGCTGGGGTAAGAGAATGACTTGAGCCTAAGAGTCTGAGGTTGCTGTGAGCTATGATGCCACAGCACTCTACCAAGGGTGCAGAGTGAGACTCTGTCTCAAAAAAATAAAGAATAGGCTTGGCGCCTGTGGCTCAAGCAGCTAAGGCACCAGTCACATACACCTGAGCGACGAGTTCAAATACAGCCTGGGGCCACCAAACAACAATGACGGCTGCAACCAAAAAATAGCCAGGCATTGTGATGGGTACCTGTAGTCTCAGCTACTTGGGAGGCTGAGGCAAGAGAATCACTTAAGTTGAGGAGTTGGAGGTTGCTGTGAGCTGTGATGCTACACACTCTACTGAGGATGACATATATATGGGTTGTGCCTATGGCTCAGTGGGTAAGGCGGTAGGGCTCCGGCCCCATATACCAAGGGTGGCAGATTCGAACCCGGCCCCAGCCAAACTGCAACAACAACAAAAAATAGCCAGGCATTGTGCCAAGTGCCTGTAGTCCCAGCTACTTGGGAAGCTGAGGCAAGAGAATCGCTTAAACCCAAGAGTTGGAGGTTGCTGTGAGCTGTGACGCCACAGCACTCTACCGAGGATGACATAGTGAGATTCTGTCTCAAATAAATAAATAAATAAATAAAATAAAAACAAGAAAATTACCAGGCATTGTGGTTGGCACCTATAGTCCCAGCTACTCAGAAGGCCAAGGGAGGAGGATCACTTGAACCCCGCAGTTTAAGGTTGCTGTGAGCTAGGCTGATGGCATGACACCCTAGCCTGGGTAATAGAGTGACATTGCCTCAAAAAAAAAAAAAAAAAGAAAAAGAAAAAAGAAAAGAAACAAAGAAACAAATTAAAAAAAATAAAAGAAAGAAACCTCTAGC